CAGGGTTTGCTAGTTAACTTGTGCACCCTCTGCTGGCTGGTGCTGCTGCAATAAAGCAAAGGTATGCTAAGGTTACACAGGGACAGTGACCTCCAATCAGTGATAGATTTTGAATAGCAGGTATTAAGACTTTAACATTTTGCCTGCACTATAACAATAGTAAAGTCTAATGTGCACTATAAAGTTATTTTAAATGATAGATACATTCAAGAATATTTTAAAAATTAAAATAATTTTAACAACCTGCTATTCATTAAATTACCAGAAAGCCACATATTAAATTATTTAAAAAATTATGTTGTCAGGATTATGCTCATATTATAAATGAGTGCTTTTGTTGTTAATTAAGCCCTTAAACACTGATTCAAAAATATATGATTACAATTTTTGACTACATGTTAGTTATTAATGAGGATGTCCTATAAAATGAACACTGTGAAAGAAGCAATTTGGTTGGCAGTTTCTATTAACTAATCATCAGTCGGGGAGGGAAATGATGTATTACTTCTTCTGCATTCAAAATATTATTTTTCCCCAAAAAACAAAAGCAGATTTTAGCAGCCAGAACTTGCACTTAGGGCCTGAGCTACTAAAAAATGTCAATTTAATGTAATATTTAATCTTCCAGAGGTCCTTTTATTTAAGTCCTCTATTTTTACAAATTAATTTTGATTTGTTAAGATGCCTATTCATGCTCCTAATCATCCATGGAATGATCTAAACATACAAGTCAAAGAATAAATACAAAATAATTGTACTGTACCTAGAAAAGTTATTTTATAGTGTAATATGCCATTAATATGAAAACCAATTAGCCAGAATTTACAATTATGAATTTCAGTCTGTCATCATAAATTAATCAGCTCATCTCTCTTGAGAATCTGCATGTGTTCTGCCAGACTAGAAGCAAGTTCCAGAGCTCAGGAACCTGCAAATACCCTTACGTCACTCATAAATAGCTATACACCTGAACTGCACTTTCTCCACCCAAGAAAAAGCACAAGACAAACAGCACAACACTAACCTGTTTGCTGCAGTGCTGCTTCAAGAGTAATGCCTGCAATACTGCCCCAGCTTCATACACAGGACTTACTGGGCCCTGACTTGGCAGCAACTGTCGCCAAGCACCTCCATCATCCCCTGCCTCTCAAAGTATTTTTTTAATAATATGTTATTTGTGAAAGCTGGTAGCATATTTCACACACTACAGGCTACAGATAGAAATTACACATAAACCAGAATAAGTGACTGGAAACTGGTTTAAATCTGGAACACAACAGAAATTCAGTGCATATAAACTGCTTTCAAAATGGCCAAAACTGGTTTAAGATAACCCTGACTGGATGTAGTACAGGGATGGGCAATTATTTGGGTCTAAGGACCACACAGGGAGTTTTGATGAGTCGTTGCAGGCCAGGTCAGCAACCCACTTCTTCCTCTCCACAACAACTCACCAAAACTCCTATGGGACTTTGGGTGGGTGGGGAACAGTATTTGGGAGTGATACAAGTATGATCTGCTCCCTCCATATCCTGCCCTGTGGAGGGGGGTTGGCAGGAGGGGATACGGGGCATGTATGGAAAGGGTGTGGCGGGGCTGCCTGGAAGACAGCTGGGGGCGAGGGGAGGGATGAGGCCGCATGCAGCAGAGCTTGCCTGGTCCGCAGCTGCCCCTATACCTTGCTCCCACTCCCACCCACACCCACTTGCCCAGACCCCCGTGCACAGCTTCTGGTGGGGCTGTTCCCAACATGACTGCAGCCAACTGGGCTCATGTTGTCACCAGGAGACGAGGGGAGCACAACAGCAGCTGCAGCCATAACAGCCACACCAGAAGCTGAGTAGGGCTGCTCTGCTTCCCTTGCCTCCATCTGCAGCTGCTGCCCCAGCTTCTGCAGTACTGCTCTGGGGGGGCAGGTGGGAAGCTTCAGCTGGGTGGCTTATGCCCAGCACTCTAGCTCGCAGCTGCTTTCCACCTGCTTCACCCACCTAGCATGATGAGCAGCCGGCTGCAGGTGGGTGGCAGGGAGCTAGAGCCAGAGCTCCACGTGCTGGGCAGGAGCCACCCAGCTGAAGCCTTCTGCCCACCCGCCCAGAAAGACACAGGAGGGCAGGAACAAGAACAGCAGCCACAGCTGGAGGTGAGGGGAGCAAAACAGCTGCTGCCGCCCCCCCACACCCCGCAGCAAGCAGCGTCCGGTGGGGCTATTCCCAGTGTGACTGCAACCAGCTGGGTGCTGCTGTACTCCCCTCACCTCCAGCAGCCACTCCTCCTCCCTCTCCTGCCCTGTTCCAGGCATGTCGGTGAGGAAGCTTCAGTCTGGCTGCTCCCACTGGAGGTGAGGGGAGCAGAGGAGCCACGCTAGCTGCAGCCATGTTGGGAACTGTCCCACCAGAAGCTGTATGCTGGCCCTAAACATTTAGAAAATATTTATCTGCTCCTGGCCGCCTATCAAAGTTGACAGAAGACAGGGGTAGTAGGACCGGGGGGGAGGCCTAAGAAGGAACGCAGCAGCCCAGCCCCTCCCCACCTCCAGCCATTTCCCTGCCTTTCTGCCCCCGCGCTGCTCCAGCACTACTGCTGGACCAGGGAGTATGGGGTTGTGCCAGTATGTGTGTGTTTGTAGGGTGAGTCCTATCCACACACCTCACCATACACATGAACCCACGCCCCTCCTTGCACTGCCATACATGCAGACCCCACACCCACACCCCCGCCATCCTCCTCCCCACAGTTTCTCCCACAAACCCCATACCCACCCACACCCCACATATCCACACACGCTCTCCCCCCCCACACACCCTCCCCCACACCCCATATACCACGCACACACAATATACCAGAGTAAGACTTCACTTCAAGCTTTTATATACAATCACCT